CGACCAAATAGCAAACTATTCTCACTGTTGAAAACAAGCAATTAATGTAAGTAAAGCAACAGCACAGATTGTCCATTTCCAAATTAAAATCCCCCTGTTTATATTTATATGTTAAATCAAAAGATCGAGATAGTCAACTCCTTTAAATACCTTGGACTTACATGGACTAGTAAACTGTTGATAAAGCATATAGTAAACAGATGTCTAGAGAACATTAATAAATCACTGTGTCAGTTGAAATGATTGAAACATGGCAAATTACTGTCCAAAATAGTACTAACGTAAGAAAGTGTTTTTTCGCTTATACCTTTCCTCATTTTGCCTGGTTATTTCTCTTCTATCCCATTCTTCCCCAAACACAAAAGGAAGCACTAACTCGCCAATTTAGAGTATCAATGCGTATAATTTATCGTGCACCATTTATTAAAGCAAAAGAGCTTCTATCCTTTACTGATGAAGACCCACATGAAAATTATGTTAAGCGTTACATATCAAATAGATTAAAAAGATATACACATCAGATTTAGGCTCCTCGCTATTTTTGGATAACATTTTTTTCTGGAATAATTATCATAAAAAAACTAACGACAGCATGAGTCATTTCTTTACCATGAGGCAGATCAAGAATCTGAAAGCTAGACATCATTCGTTGCTTCTTACCTGGCTGGATTTCACAAATCAGCCCCCATAATTATCTATCTCGGTTCTTAGCATCTTGTTCAAGAATTGTTGCTGTAACTGTTTTATTCACCACTGCTTTTTCTGTCTCTTATTATTCTATACCTTGTTTATCATTCTCTCTTCCCACCCCTTGGTTGTCTCTCATGTGCTCCTTCCTCTTTCATTTTCCTTATTCCTTCGTTGCTTTTCTTCTTTCATGCACTTCATTTCCTCTCCTTTTTTGCAGGGACTTACGAGTGTTATAATAAAACAGAGCTTAAACCAAAAATTGCATTTCGTGTATAGTTAGAATAGATCTTAGCCATTCTGTCCCAAATTTGACTAAATTTTGAAAAAATTACAAAAATCAAGTACAAGAACTTATGAATTTCAATCTCATTCATGTATTTCAGCATCAGTTTTAGCTAGCGAGATAAAGCTGAAAAATTAAAGACCTGGGTTAGATATATATGTGAAAAAAAACTTTAGTCTTCTACGTCAAGAAAATGCATGAAAAAAATCATTGATGATTGTTCGCAGGTTAATTGCACATAAAAATCGTTAATCATTATCAGTGCCAGTTTTCTAATATTATTAAAATATCCGTACAATATTAGGATAGCGTTTTTTAACATAGGGTGACGTATCGTACTAAGTTCATGCTTTCGTCACTTGAATCACCATTTTTAATTACGATCAATTATATGCCATAGATAAAGCGTTAAAATTATTATAAAAATATGTATAGGCTATTGATGAATTTTAGTAGCATAATCCGAAGCAATGTACGGTTTGATAGAGAATAATGGCACAACAATTAGCATTAAACTAAAATAATCGTATGAAAACAAGAATATATTTGAAAGATAATCCTATTTAAATCGAAATGGTTTGGATGTCGGAAAAGAACACTCACATCCTCATCCTTATAATTGAAGAAAACAGATCTTGATGTTCATAATTATATCATTATCAAGCTTCAACGTTTTTCTTATAGCTAAGATGGAAGATGTTCGTGTAATGAAGTAAACTATAAAAGCGAACTAAAATCCCGAGGATCAAGCCACACAGGTGACGTGTCGATTTCATCACCTAACTCGATCATGCGCTGTGAGATAATATTTCTAGATAGTATCTCTGTTGTCATGGCTAATGCTTGCCTTCGGCATAAACTATTAAACACTGATAATTGTTCAACGTGGCATAGCAGGAATGGTATACCGTTGTTGAAGGCCACGTGGCTTAGGGAAGACAATAGATATTGCTTCTCATCATTCAAGGATGAGATTGAGCCAGGCGATTGAAAAAAATTGAATACAAGCCAGTACGAACCACGATAAGCATTTTTCTGAGAAGATCGATCATCACAAATGATAGCATTGGAAGGTCGCCATACGGATGCTACTGTATATCGACCTGCAGCAAAGTCGCCGGCAAGGAATGTGCCGATATATTCAGTCATTTTCATAATACGTCGCAAGTCGTCCAATACTGGACGGCAAACCCAATTAACCAAATCAATCGTGCATAATTGTTTCATTTCTATTGGAGTAAGCTGCCGCAAAGGAGTAGTCGTGATGTTCGATTGTGTTGCAATAACAAAGATGTTTAATAGAGCAATTTCTTTCCGCTTCGTCTTTGTATGGACACGTTGCAGAGTTAAGGATGGAGTGTTGGTGAGTAGCGTGTAACCTTGACTAAAATCGAGTGACTCCTGTTGCCAGACTTTTCTTGCATGCCAAAACAATGCGAGGCTTAAGTGTTGACGTCGTCGGCTCGGTTCGACGCGCGCTAAACGACCAAATGCGACTTTGATTATCTTTCCACCGAGCTGTACTTCTTTCAAGTTGGCCACAAAAGCGGCTAGTGTCCGCCCATTTCTAAGTTCTCGCAATTGAAAACAGTACGATTTAGGATACTGTTCCATACACCAGAGATAATCAGTAAATTCACAATGGAAAGCTACTGAAAACGATCGACCGGTCAGACTCATCGCAGCAGATGTTTGATTTGCTGCTTCACAACGTTGAAAAAAATCGACTAATTGAATGCGATCGTTACAGTAATCTTCGTTGGTTCGACAGCAAAAAACGAGCTCCGAATCTTCCCCCGTCATATAAAGAACTATATGCTCTTTTCGCACAGAGTGATGTCGATTGGTTAACTACCGACAATATTTGAAATAATAAATGACATAGTATTACATGTAAAGCCTGTGTTTTCTTAGCTTGATATGATGAAAAAGACGTACGGATGGTAAAAGTAAAACACTTCGAGACAAGAGTAGATCTTTTTTGTGCGCTGTGGCATATTTTGCCTTATTCATCAAATGAGCCTCGTCTGAGCCATCTCAAAAACGACAATAGGAAGATTGATACTCTTTTGAACGAAAAGGAGCTTTCATTGTAACACAGCACAGTAAAAAAAAGATCACGTTGGTCAGATTGAGTGGTCATATTTTTTTTATTATGCGCGTAAATGTAACACTGGGAAGTGCTTACATGATAATATAAAGAGAAATTACGATGTTTAAGCATTAAACAACAACATAAAAGCGATGATTTTTTACAGTTACCACCAATAGTATTATACCGAACATTGACTCTGCACGTGTGGTTGTAAGAGAGTAGATACAGAAATAAGAAGAAAAAGGCAGAACAAAATTCAGAAGTTTGAGAACAAGAAAGTAAATGAAACAAAGATAAGAGAAAGAGAAGCGAAAGAGCACTGTCATCAGCGTTTCAAGGACGGAAAAATAAAGAAAAAGGTGCAGCAAAAAAAGAAAAAAAGGAGAAAGAAAAGAAGAAGGATTATGCATGCTCTTTTCTTTGTACACAATTACTCTATTTCAATAAATGATATTTATTTTAACTTCTTAAGGACCGACTTCTTTTTACAGAAAAAAGTTGAGTTTTCACTTAAAAAATCAATTATAGTTGAAAATTAATAATCATGATTTTTTCATCCAGACTCAATGCAAAAGACGCACGATGTCTATATTGGCACAACAAAAACAAAACATACATGCAAGAAATATAATGAACAAAAATTAAATTACAAATGAGACGGGAAGCTAATGCAAGAAAACTAAAAATGTAATCAAGTATCTAGTGCCTCGAAACAACAAACAATATAAACATTTACATTACAATCTTTATATATCTATGTAGTGTGAAACAGTCCTCTTTCTAGATCGTTGGCTACTGTCTGTATATATATAACACAAATTTTCTGAGGAGATTTTCCATTTGTTGTTTAAAGTACAAGATACGAAAAGTGTTTAGCAGTAAGTCTAGTCGATTGATAAGTCAATGTAGAACTATTCCATAACGTCTTCATGTGTAATATGTCTATGAGAAAAAAATCCATTCTTAAAATCCCAACTCTTGTGTATTTAAGGGTTTCTTTTCTTAGTTAAATTTCAAAGCTGTATATATACGGTCACGGTCCCAAAAGGGTTGAGAGAAGCAATTCATACTTTTCCATCAACATGCTTTACTCGATCACTATGAAATAACTGGCCAAGATGATCCTTCCTTCTTTTATGAAAACCATTCCAAAGAAAAATACCATTAAATTCTATTTTTTGTCCATTCATTTCTATGTGTACTCTTGGCTTTCTTATTGGTGAATAAAACAACCATAGCACTAGATATTATTGACACATTTGTAAGTCATTTCCAGTTTTCTTTGAGGATTGAAAATATTCAATCATAGATCGGCACAAGGAAGCATGATGGAATTTCATTTTTTCTACATTGTGACATTTATATCTCAGCAATATAAGCTAACTCTCTGAAATTTGCATCATAGATAGAGGTCATTTAGATCCGCTATCAGAAACAGTTTCATTGATTTTTCTTTAGTTAGACCTGAGTTATTCGAAACATACCGACAATTACGGAACTTCAAAAAAAAAATCGATTTTTTTTCAGGTGCGAGTGAGAATTTAGCATTTTACTTTGAAACGAACTGGCACCTAAATAAGCATTCTATATAAAATTTGTTCAGTTTTCAAGAAACTTTCCGAATATAAGGTCAACTTTTAACATACATAACAGCTTCAAATAAAAAACTAAAAATACTGGTTGTCATAGAATTTCATTTTTTTTTGACGCCTTAATGGGAAAGCTTAAAGAACCTTAAATTTCAAATCATTATGGTAAGCATTTTTTTCTAATCCAGAGAAGTACAGAGACAAGTTCTACAATAACAAAAAAATCACAGAGTGGTTCCTGCTGATATGTTATGCGAAGAAACAGCATAACGAAAAAATATCATATTAAAAATGAACAACTATTATTTTCATACTATTTGAATAAATTTTATATTGAACTTCGTCAACATGTAGCATAGGTATAGTGTATTTTTTGAATATTAGGTGCAGTCTTGACATTATCATATAACGCTGTTCGATTTTCGCCAGTATCGTCAATTTCACTTATTAATAATTGATCGACGATCATAGGAATATTTTTATCTCGAATCAATTGTACAAAATCACTTGCATTTTCACATCGTTTTCCAACCATAACATCTTGATAAACCATTCGTTTAAGTATTTCACCAATACCGGCGACAACTCTTAGAAAATTTTTGAGAGAAGAAAAATGATGCAATCGTAGAACCGCATTTTAAGAACTCTTAATAAAAGTTAGCTTCTTATTTTTATTATACTTTCTCAGTAACATTGACGACTAACAAGTTATCGTCTTAAGGAAAAAGTTCTTTTTGTTTATATTCTAGAACTATTTGCCTTATTCTTATTCAATTTAATTTACACTTTCCGTGGCTTGGGTGTGAGTGGAGTGTAGGAAAGAACACCTACACCGGAGATACCGGATCAATTGGATTGGTACGGGTGCCCATTGTATTGAAGCTTTCATGTGTTAGCCTAAACCCAAACTAGTGGGTTGGACTGACCATTTGAATAATTTGAACCCTGCGCCACCCATCAAAATTTTAAGGTAAATTTTGTCGGTTAACCCAAGGGCCGTTCTTTGGTGAACCCATGAAATAATCTATATTTCTCAGAACTTAGTTACGAAATGGTATTCATCATGAAGATGTTGTCATGATACAGTATATGTGATCAATCAGCTTCTCGATATTTAGTGTTCGGTTGTATGGTCCAGCGTAACACACAAAGCACTTGTAATCTTTTTACTTTCTGTCCTTCTTCTCTCTAGTCTTCTGTTTTCTCTGGCGTCGAAGTATTCAAAATAATGACACCCAATTGACACAGATAAATCTATCGTTTTTGCAATGTTAGAGACAAAACAAACCATAGTTTGCCTTTTTATCAGTTTATTTGCGTTATTAATATTTATTTAAAATTGAACACGATATTCAATATTCAATAGACATTGGCTTTTACTTCACTTCTATCGTTAAACTCATCCACCTAAATGAAAAATGATTTCGTTCAAAAGTGAATGATTTTCTTTCTGTTTTGCCTTTATTATGATCTCATAGATCCTGTCAGCACAAATATATAAAAAACTACGAGGAATATGACAGAAAAAGAACTAGCCATAAGTAGAGAAAAACACAAAATAGTCTGCAGTGATGAAAAGGAATAGACAAGCAGTACAAAAAGAAATAAGACAAAAGAAGAAGAAAAGAAAAAAGGTAGCCCAATTTTGAACAAAAGATATAGCTATCGTGGATAAAACGTAGAATCGATCAAAGGGAAACCTAAATCATAGTTAGAATTGGATTTTTGAAAATAAATAAATTCTATTGATAGATACTATCCTCTATCATTGATATGATATTTTGACATGTTGGAACCAGAATTGGTAAACTAGAATTCGTAATTATTTTTCAAGCCGAATCCATTATGACTTCGATGAAACAAATCGAGTCTTACTCAATTGAAAAATTGTTCGTGGAAATTAACGAGATGTTGTAAAATGCTGAATACTTAACCGTGATCGATTTAATTGGACTTTCAAATTGTCGTTTGCTTTTACTTGCTTTCCTGTAATTTGTACTGGTTTTTTAGAAAGTTATCAATCTGCAGCGATACGAGTTTCATAAAAATCTTGCAAGTATTTTTAATTTCATTCATTTCTAACTCTTTCTTCATTAAATGCGTAAACAATCTTGGTTTTATGATTGTATGTGATCAGAATACTGACAATAATGAAATTATTGTTATCCTTACGTTTACAGATACAACCAAATGTCGAAAAGTAAGCCGAATAAAATTAAAAAAAAATTTCTATCATATTATAAAGATATATAGAAACCGCTTCAGTTTTGTAAGAGATATCTATTTTGCTTTCCAAGCAACCTTTGCGACAATCCGTATATTTTTATTTTAATAGTCCGTAGAACGATCACTCTTGCGTGTCAGAGACAATCCTTACATAGAAGAACTAAGACTTTTATTTGTATCAATATATGATAGAAAACTGAAAGTCGCAATAACCATAATTACTCATTGGGTTATCCAATGCGTAGAGTTCAAGCTATTCAATCAAAACCTACGACTCATCGGTTGAAAAAAACTTAGACATGGGTGAGAACCCACCTGCAAAGGAATCGGCTGGATTAGGATCCCCATTGGAAGCTGAAATCGATGCATTCAAATTCTTATCGAGTGACAGGTTAGATATATCGAAGATAATACAATCTAATATTATCGTCACATACAATAATCAACAGGGTGCGGGTGTGTAGGTATGAATGTGTTATATATTCATCAAAGAGCGTACTCATACCCCACACCCACAACCCCACCCACACCATAACCATGGTATTTCACAGCAGTATTTGAAAATATTGTTATTGCGAATATAATCTTTCAAAATTCTCTTGTCAGTCATAAAAAACCAGCTGATTTGGTTAAACTATGACAGAGATACTCAATTCCTTTAATAAAGTGCTCTTTGGATTCGCCTGTATATATATATATATTTAAAACTTTCATGTTTCTTTAAAGTTATAGACTCGGGGGGGGGGGGGGGGGGGGGTAAGTGGTTTGGCTTTTAAAAAACAGAACGGATTATTTGTTATTGTTGTTTGTTTTTTAAAAACACAAAAAATTTAAAGAAAAAAGATATAATTA